CCTTGCCAATTCTCATTCCACCAACTGTTCCACACTCATCATCTATCATCCGGGGCTGGTACGATAGGCCAATTAGTGGTCCACGTACTAAGTGGAATCAGTCACACTCAACTTCAAGAAACTAAAGAAAAAGACTGTTTGGGTCTATTCGTAGATACGTGCACTATTTATCCTTTTGTTCTTGTATTACTTCTGCCAGTTTAAAATATTCTAGTTCACTTCATATTAGGCGTGATTACGCGAAAATTCACAAAGGTGATGTCCACCTCACTTCCGCTGTGAGGTTCTGACAGCGGTGACTACTAGTACGAACAGACGAGTATCGCCTGTAGTCCGACGTTCCTCCGTCACGGCGTCACACCGCAGAAGATAACACTCTCCACTACTAAAGCTTCAGTCTTTATTCTACCAGCGTTACTTGAAGCCTAGGTACCGCACCTGTATGTTAATACCGGGACTATCGTAACTTTGTGAAACTTTAACTGCGTTTCTCTTCGGCTTGTGTGTCTTTAATTTACGTTCAGAGTGACACATATGTTGAAATTTGCGTAGTTTATTAACTAGATCCTCACCACGGTCTTAAGGCACAATACAGCCCAAGTAACTGAAGTCTGGCCGCGCCATAGCTCAAACGGTTAGTCGCTGGCTTCCCACCGCGGCAGCCCGGGTTCGATCCCGGGTCTGGTCAAGTGGGATTTGTGGTGGACAAAGTGGCGCTGAGGCGGGTTTTCTCCGAGTACTTCAGTTTCCCCTGCCAATCTTCATTCCACCAAATTCTCCATCATCATAATCACCCGGGGCAGGCTACAATAGGCCAATCAGTGGCTGCCGTGCCGAGTGGACCCAGTTGGACTCCAGCCCCCCCTAAGCGAAACTGAAGTCTCACCATAGCAGCTGAAACTGATACACTGTAGGCCTACTTATCAGAATTGTTGTTTATTTAACAACGCTTTCAGTTACTCGTATTATACAGAGCCCAACGAGATAGAATGAGTGGTGAGTAAGTAGTTGGAAATGACGTGGAAAGAAGCGGCTGTGGCCTAATTTAAATTACCATCCCAGAGTTTACCTAGAGACTGAGAAAACTCGAACCTCAGTAGAATGTTGTTCAGCCGAGATCCGAACCGGGCAGCTCCCGAATAATTGTTAGGAAGCACTTCTATTTGAACTCACTTGCTCGGATTATTCCTGTTCATAACCTCGCAATAAACTCCACTCCCTCTCAATCAGCAATGTTCTTAGATTGGCCTTATTCTTATAGTATTATTATTATTATTTGTAGAGGGGGTGGGTTTCCCCATGCACTGCGACTAATAGTCTATTGTACGTCCCCTTTTGATATTCTACCAGTCGCCTGTACTGGTGCTCGCTATCAGCCCCGTCCTGCCTCTCTGGCAGTGGTACCCGATACTTCCCCATCTACCGGAGGAATTGGAAACTACTTTGGCGGGAAACTTTTGCCTAATTTTGCTCAGAAGTCTCCTAGAGACATGAGGATCTTTGCGTGCCGGGTTTGAACCCGCGTACCTTGAGTCTTGAGGTGGGAACGTTACCCCTAGACTACGGAGGCCGCTTTCTTACAGTATTAGTTTAAAACGTGTACTATAGCTATACGGTTTAGGAAGCAGGCGTAAACCTGAGGCTGATAATCACACATGTTGGATATAACGACCATCTCAGAAACTGAGCATGTTGACCCATAGTAACGTTTCCGAATTGGTAATTTTGAGGTTTCCAGTTTGTATTTCCGCCGGGACACTGGGATACTTAAGGGTTGTTTGATGATTTTACTTAGTTCATGCAGATGAATGCTGTGATAGTACTTTTAAAATGCTACGACCTCTTCGTCCCGAATCCGATGAAGCTGATATAACTTCATAACCGAGATCCCTTCATCGCCACAGATACAGGCTGACAGAAACATACATACATACATGCATATACGGATACATAGAGAAGTGGAATAAGGGCTGAGCAAGTGGGGGAACTGTCTCGAGCAGAGACGCTGGGGTAGGGGGTGGGCTGTGTTTCCGGTGGTAATCAGGAAACGCTTTTCGCTCTTAAAGGAAGAAGAGAAAATAAGTAGTGTTGTCAGTGTGAAATGAGCTACGAACTGCAAAGGAAGCAGAGGACCTAACCATGCTTGTTATCTAATTGAAAATTCTCTCATAGTTCTGAATTTTGGTTCCAAACACTGGCAGAGGCGGCAGGGAAGCCACAGGCTCAGTATGGCCTAGTTCTGCCCCTAGAGGCACACACCTAGCAGTCTGTGAAGTCGGTAGCTAGTATGATGCAAGTGTTATCTACGCTCCTAAAAAGTGACTGTTTTTTTTCTTTTCAAGTAATTGAAGTGGCGAGCGGGGAGTACGATGCAGACCTTGCAGTTCTGGCTGCAGAAGCTGCAAAGAGTGTCAGTGAGCGGCGGAAGACGCCTAGGACCATAACTGCAGGGACTGAAGAAGTTGTTAAGACCATTTCTGGTAAGTGGCGAAGGTCAACTAACTGTGAGACGCAAGTTCAACAGCCTGCGTTCTTACAGCGTAAGACCTAGTTTACGTTTGTCTTTATAATTGTAGATTACCATGTTGCTGGAAGGACCAACTTATTAAATATAACAATATCCATAGCAGTAATTATATAGTGGATTATTTGCTGAAGGCAAGAACTGTGAGCCAGCAGAAACAGCCATTGCCAGGGAACAGCTCTGCAAACAAGTCCATTACTATGCATCAGATTCATAACACGCAATAACTGGGAAGTGGTGTTCTAGGCGCGGTTCGTGCGATAGCTATGCGCTGCAACAATATAAGAACTTTTGTGAGAGATATTTTCTGTGAGATCCATGCCGTAGTGTTATAAGCAGGAAAAGTCCAGAGAGTAGTTAGTTGTGAGAAAGTATCCGGCCAGTATGTAGGACGTGAACACAGAAACTGAGGAAACTATGGCAATGCAAGCCATTACCAGGAGACGACCGGTGAAGATACAGTAGACTGAGAAGACTTTGTACATGCTGCAGTGAACTGCAGTGTGTGTGAATTAGCATTAGCGCTGTAGTTATTCATAGTTACGACCTGTAAGTGTTCAGTAAATCCAAACCCAAGTCACCCAATCACATGACAGTATGTTAAAAATGTTTAATGTTAAACAACAGAGTAATGGTATTGTGACGTGAATGGGAGTATGCGCGACGAAAATAACGAGTTCTATTTTGGATGATTAGATTTATTGTCACTTCGGTTACACTCTCTTAATTATAATATTTCAGCGCTATCGCTGATTTACACAATTTACAGTTCACCGTTGCACATGCACTAGGATCTGTCTACACTAGTCGTCTCCTAGCAACGGATCTTGACACAGAAATTAACACTTCAGATCATTATGAATTCCTTTGCCATTTCTTGTTCAATCACCCTGGAACTCCGGAACTCAAGTAAAAACTCTACTGGACTCTCCTTAGCTGTAAGCGGACTCGTGTTGTATAGCTGCGGCACGGGCAACACAGGAAACACAGTTATACTGTTGAGTAGCGAAGACCACACAGAAAACACTAGTCACATGATAGCTAATCACTATTGGGATGTGACATCATTAGACCTGCGCTGAAGTGTGTTCACTGATCCGTTGCCTAGAAGCAGGTTGCACAACCCCGTTCCACTGTTTCGTGCATGTATTACATAGAAAAGGCTGTTCCTGTGGCTCAACCATTCTTGCGTGGAGCAAATACGCCACAGTTTTTATGCGACTCTGAAAATTATGTGGAACTCTTACCATATTTTGTCTGTTGTATGTTACTTGTAGTGTGAAAGGTGAGTACTGGCATAAAAGACGATACGAATACAAGAAGATGAGGTGTTGTGTTGATAGTAATATTATGCAAGGAAACTGATGCCTGTTGCTGTTTATGTCATGTAAATACAGCGTCCAAAACAAGGTATGGTGTATGTGACTATGTATCACTCGTATGCAAATTTTGTTTATTCTGTAGAATCATTCCATAGATTTCACATAAGCAACTTGCTTTGGCTGTCTTTATTCATGTGAGATGTTTGTTGTTCAGATAGTGCACTGTATCATTACTTAGAAACGAGAAGAGTTTCGCACCATGTTGGATTTGAGGTTTTCACAGCTACTACTATCATCTTGGATGTGACACCACATAATTTTGTAGCATTTTATCAACGCTTTGGAGGAATGCACTGCCTTCAATCTTGAGACTGGAGGCAGTATGATCCTCCAGATATTCTGTGAGTTCTACAAGATTATACGGCGTCATGTCCAAGATGTTAATATTCTTTATGGTATATCATGATCTCTTTCTACGTGGAACTGCTTGCCAGACCACCCTGGTAGTTTCATAAGGACTATGCCCCTGTCTATAATATTATCTAGCAGTATTTTTTCAGCCTGTGGGACATATACCACTGTGGGGTTTGGTTGTCAGCTGGTTGGGACACGAGCTCTCAAAAGTAAGAACATTGATTGACGATTAATATAATCCTAATATGCAAATAATTGTAAAAATACACTTCTTGGAAAAAGGAAGGTTGTTTTTACTCTGGTGGAATTGCAGTTTTATTTGGGAGGGGGGGACAAAATGCAGGGAATATAAGGTTTAGATTGATCTGTTATACCAAAATTGCTCTATTTTGAAGATATATGGCTCCTATTTAGAATTACTTTTACCAGATTTTAGTATCCTTAAATGTTAAGAGGATCACTGATCCAAATTCCAGGATGTTTCCCGCCCAACAATAGTCTCTAAGGCCTCTGATAGATAGGGGAAGCATTACAGACACCGCTAAGCAAGTGGCCGAACTCGCTTGCTCGGCGTGACTTATGGTACGCACCATTTATCGGTAGGGTATAGAGACTGGTAGAATATCATAGAGGGAAGCACAATAGATCAAAAATGGTCGCGGTGCATGGGGAAACCCACCCTATCTAAATAACTAACTAACTAGTATCCTTAAATGTTCACTGTTCTGTGTTTTATAAACCTGCTCCATTTGCTCGACGTACGGTATAGGGCAATCTTTGCAGTATTGTTGGTACAAATCGTTATTCAGATACTGATCGCATTTTGACAGAATTTTAGAATTTCTAAACAACTACAGAAGTTAGTTGTAACTCTAACTTCATTCATAGCATAAGTAAATATTGCCACTTCTTATTATGTTTTGTAGTTGCTACTCCTTCCAGTTGTTCAGTTATCTTGTGAGAATTCTTTCTTACTAAGGTTTTTAATTCCTCACACTGTCTGATGTGTAAGACTCCCATTCTTTACTCTCTGTTTATTTAACGACGACTTTAAGTTCTTTGATTATATGGCATTTTGATAATAGAATGATTTGGAAAGGGTGTGAAAGGAAAGGGTAATGACATAATATGAGACCCTGTCACAGCATTTTCCTACTGGGACTGAGGCAAATCAAGAAATAAGCCTCTTAGAGTAACCCGTCTATGTACTGAAATTTTAACCTGGAACTGAGCTTGTGCATAGATGTAAGATTTCAGGTTTTCACGGCGGTGACTATGAAGAATGCCGTCTTCTGGGATGTGACGCCGTGTAGATTTTATGTGAACCAACGTTTCGGAGGAACGTATCGCCTCCATCTTCAGGGTAGAAAAATCCGCGAGCGAGGAACCTGCTTGAGCAGGTGGCTGCAGAATGAGTCACCAGTCAAAAAACACCCAGCTATATGAGAACAGTAAGGGAGGGACAGTGGACCACATGGGAAATCATTAGAGAAGAGAGGGGAAGGGTCTGTGGAGATGGACCAGCAGGTAGCAGGCAAGAACCTGATTACGATTGTGTGGGGGGGGGGGCCTACCATGCGGGCATTGATCCAATAGCCTCGGGGCTAAGCTGCCGGCTGTGCATTGACCTGCGTAGCCTTGTAGATCTGGTGTCATATTCCAGAGGTTTCTTGAGGGAGCACATGAGAAGTTTCCATGATTTGCTGAGACAAAAACCCACCTCTCTGTTCATATTGTTGGGATGGAGCTCGATCTCAGTGGCCTCCCTAATGATGCGATCCATCTGTTTGTTCTTGGTAGCGAGGATGGAGGTATTGTGAAACTGAATGCAGTGTCCCAAGTTGACGCTGTGTTCAGCCACAGCTGACTTGACGGGATGTTCTAGACGGATGTGCTGCTGATGCTCCTTCAACCTCATGTCCACGGAACGGCCTGTCTGCTTAATGTAGACCTTGCCACACTCACAGGGGATTCTGTATACACCCGGTGTCCTTAGTCCCAGGTTATCTTTGACCGGCTGGAGAAACTTATATACTTTCTTGGGAGGCAGGTCCACTAGTCTGATGTTGTGCCGGGACAGCACTTTGCTGATTCGGATGAATATAGTCCTGACATAGAGCAGGAAGGCAACTGAGTCTGGTTTATCGTCGGGCTGACTGAAGTTTGGACGATGGTTGAGGACTCTGTGGATCTGTCGGTCGTTGTAACCGTTCTCCTTGAAAACGTCCCTCAGGAACACCAACTCTACATGGAGGCTGTCCTGATTGCATAGAGCTCTAGCCCTGTGCAACAGCGTGGAAAGTACAGCTTGTTTGTTGGATGGGTGGTGGTGGTGGGATCCAGCGTTTAGGTAGAAGTTGGTAGGCGGAGCTGGTTGGCGAAACGTTCCTCCAAAACGTCAGTTCACGCAAGATCTACACAGCGCCACATCCCAGAAGACGGCATTCTTGTGTATAGATGGTTATAAAATCAACTTTAACTCGAGGCAAAATTGCTTACAATTATAAATGCTAATAAAATATCATTATTTATTAATGTTCTCAATTTTAAGGTCCTATATTTAGTTACACTAGTGTCACTCCCATGCCACATGTTCTTGTTTCCAACATGTTATTTAAAGGTATGAGGTTGGAGTGGCATAATGTGCATACCAAATTTCGCAAAAGATTAGTCACTTGATTTGAAAGCTGGAAATAGGGAATTTTTTAGATTACTTTGCTGTCTATGATCTCACAAGCTCTCCCCCCATAAAAAGCTAAAAATGGAAGATTCTGGAAATGTCATGGATCATTTGGTAGACAGATGAGTAGATTGGGAGATGGATAGTTCGTCCTATAATTACCCAAAATAGAGCTAAGAATGTAATTACATGAAATTTATTCCCTGTCAGCACAGTTTGTAAATATAAGTATCAGAAGAAATTAAGCCTACTCAAATAATTAAAACAAATTACAAATAAGGGTTTAAACCTTGTAAGTACTTTCTTTTATTTTTAATGTTTGCACACTGTTGCATGAGTATAATAATACAAATTCCACCTTCACCGCAAATACTATAATTTTTGTTAACTTACATTCTACTACATGTCTCGACCCTTACAGGGTCATTCCTCAGGTGTTTTGATTTACACATTTTCATTATTGAATTGTAAAGCAGCAAAGCATACCATATAAACCAGACAACACAACTACAGTAACAATCGACATACTGGTAATAAGGAAGAAGATAAATTCATGCCCAAGAAAGAGTTAACACTAATGAATCTAGCCCATAATAGAAGAATTAGGTGAAAAAATGGTCTACTACAGCAACAGACACTAAGCTCAATACAACATACAACACTTTTAAATTAATTAAAAAATTAGTAAAATTAACATTTGGTTTATATATATTTTGTATTTAAATCAACTTCCAGCAGTTATAATATAAATGTCCATATAAGGTAGTCATTTTAAGCCTATGTGTATAAATATGTATACACGCTTTACAACTCAATCTGTAACCGTTCATTCTGACTGGAGGAGTGTTGTGTGAAAATTAAATTTTTATTAAGTTTAACAATATTACAAACAAAGAGACCCGGCAGATAGCCAGCTCTTACACGCGGAAGGGACATAGTTCAAGTTTTGCTATGTGAACAGGAAGTAACATCTGGTACTTTCCTGGAATTCTGGCAGTTTCAGCAAAGTCGGACACTAAATTTAACACTACAGCCCTTCCGTAGAATAGTATAAGTACAGTACAAAGCAACAGTAGTAAGAAATTCAGTTGTACGAGTATTCAGAAAGCCGGAAGGTATTAAAGGACTACTAAGTGCAACCGTCGAAAGGTAGGTGATTGTAGTGAAGTGTTCTTCCTGCCCTGTCCGAGCCAGACCCTCATAAGACCCTGGGATAGGAACCCAGCTCTACTGATTAAAGTAAAGAACCCAAAGAAGTGAGCGGTGGTGGAGTGGCACACAACGAAAAGGGCACAAAGGAAGTGAGCAGTTACAAATCATGAAAATTTGTAAATCACAACAGCTAAGGATGACCCTGTAATGTTCAAAACAAGTACTGGAACATAAGTTAATAAATTATAGTTGTGTTCACAGTGAAATTTGTATAAGTAAACTGTAAAACATACTTCCATGTTCTATTTCATAGCAGCCACAGCCACTGTACATGCTTGGAATAATATGCATAAAAAAAACGTTTGGGGTGTTTTCTGTTCGGTCCACTGAAGAAAACAGAAAACTAACGAAATACCGACAGGAAAGTAACGTTTTTACACATATCTTAGATTTCTCTTTTGTCCTTTTCAGGAACAAATGTAGACGATCAGAAACCCCATGCCCAGTATGCAAGTCTGGCCAGCAGCGAGGACTCGTCTATTGATGAAATTCCGGAATCATCCCCTGTTTCAGCATCCCTCCTTGCTCAGTTCCTACTGCTATACTATAGAAACATCATAGTACTCTGTAGAAATTATGTAAGTAACTGGCATTTATGTATTCTGGATCATTATAATATAAAGAAAGGGGCTATAAGTGAATAGCCATAAGCCATATTTATGAAATTTGAATAATTTATAATTTGAATTCAGCCTTCTCATTCACACCTTTAATAAATGGGTATTTTCTCTTAATACTGTCATTAATACTGCACATGCGTTATACCATCGCTATATGGATGAAAAGCGATAAATTCTCACAGGCTCTCACAACGCAGTGTAACGGTCGACAAGAAATGCAAAGAATGATACAAACAAAACTTCTGTTATGGAAGCAAATCAAAATGGAAACAAAGGATTATATTGCAACAGAAAAACAAACAATTTGTGAAATTGGTTCACAGATTAGCCAACAGGAGTGTTAGCATTGTTATAGAAATGCCTGTTGCAGAGAATAGCATTTGTTACTGAGCTGTTATTGATAGAAATTAATGTTACAGAAGAGTACTTAAAAAGTGGGTTGGGAGAGCAAAATTCATGGAAAAATGGAGGACTTTGGGCACTTTTTCTGTACAAAGTGTGATTCAGTGCTGTGAAAGTGCTTCATATAGATCATTTGCTAACTACAATATATACAGTAGACTCTCGATTATCCGCGCGCTGTTTAACCGCNGCTACAACATATACTTTATGAGAATAGTATGGAAAGTAATGTAAAAGTTCTCCTTTTAAACAATTAACCATTTGAAGTATGAAATTATTCTGTATTAAAATTAAAAATTCAGCTCGTAAATCACAGAAAACACACTGATCACATGGTTAATGCTATTCAAATAAATAATTGTTGTTTATTCTGAGAATTATGTGAAATACGTAAATACACGCTCTGGGTAAAATGCAGAGTTTCTCATTGTTAAGGTAGGTGGTGTATATATATCAGCCAGTGTAATTTAAAGGGGTAAGACACCAGTGTATTTTGAGTGGTGTACAAGGAAAATATGTGAGATGTGTGAAAACGGTTTTTCATCAATTAACCCATATTTTCTATTTTACTTACAGAAGCACTTCATGATACGCATTGGGGCCCATTTGGGTATTGGACTTATATTTGGGTTCCTATATCGAGGAGTGGGTTCAAAGGCTGACTCAGTGTTCGCTAACTATGTCTATCTGTATGGTACAATTCTGTTCCTTGTGTATACCGGGAAGATGGCAGTTACACTTTCATGTAAGTTACACCTTGCATATCAGTCCTGCTTTGGGGGGGGGCTATCACCATTCCTTCTTCAACATGTTAAAGACTGAAATTAATTTATAACATTATGTAAAATAGACTTTGATAACTGCACAGTACGACTAAAAATCAAAATGGTTGGCCAGTACTGTGTAAAAGTCTCTCATATCAAATTTCACATAAATCTGATGTAACACTATGATATACATAAAAATTTTCTTGTATAACGTTACATAAAATAGACTTTGTTATGGATCAGTATGGATGAAAACTGAACTGTTGAAAAACTTTTAGTAATAGTCTCCTCTATCAGGTTTTAAAAATATCTATCCAATTGTTTATAGGCTCTGATAATAAGCCACAGAAAAATGATCAGACAAGACATACACGTATGGAATTCTTTTTACTTTGTAAAAATTCCTAAAATGAGTAGGATACTGAAAGTTAATAAACAATGGATTTCATAAACAGCATGAATGAAGTTGTGTTTGATTACACAAATCTTCAGTTATAGAGACCATGGTTAAGAGTGGAACATGGCAAATCTAGAAGAAAATGTCAGGATTATTTAGATATGGGATGTTAAAAGTTTAAGTTCTTCTGCTATAAATATATGGATAATGTGATAAACAGTTTATATGGGTTAAATTTATTTTAAGAGAAAAGCTTTGATGGCCAAAAAGTGAAATGTGCATTAACAGTATAAAAGTAATTGATTTGTCCATGCAAATGGTACAGTTCAGATTCTTTTTGTATGAATTTAAGTTACTGCTCTGAAAAAGAAATTCTATATGTCATAAAATAATTAAGGTGAATTGATTCTGTCAGATGACTATCAGTAATAAAGTCCATGATTTATTTCACCGTCTTCTAGTGCATACACTTATCTACTTCACTCCTCTCTCTCGCACTACATGTTTCGGCACAAAAGTGCCATCTTCAGGTGCTTATTCGATTAACGTTAAGCTAGTTCACTGCATGCCTTGTCGTCTTCATATTAAAATAATTAAAATATATACAGGGTGTCCCAGGAGGAATGTGCCAAACTTCGGGAGGGTGTTCCTTATGTTAAAGTATGCCGATATAACCCAAAACACCTATGTCCAAAGTTGAACGGTTACGGAGATAATGGCCCGAGAAGTGTCAAACTTTGACCGGCGTTGCACACTTGTTGATTACAAAATACATATTAAAACTGGCAGGAATATGTGGATTCTGTAACGTTAATAATGTACGTAACATCAAACTAACTTGTGAGTGACATGAAGCCATAAAATTGAAGTACAAAAAACTCGCATGCCATCTCAAAGTTGTCGTTAAGAGTTCCAAGCACTGTACATGACACATGAATGGTAAGCGATGACGTAACGTGCTGACTGCGCGTTCTGATAAAGCCAACTCCATAAGCACGGATAGGATGAATCACGGCAGTCAAGGACAAACAGAGATAATTCCTCTCAGCTGATAGGTATAATCCGTGGACCCGCTAGAAGACCACACTTTTCTCGGGCCATTATCTCCGTAACCGTTCAACTTTGGACATAGGTGTTTTGGGTTATATCGGCATACTTTAACATAAGGAACACCCTCCCGAAGTTTGGCACATTCCTCCTGGGACACCCTGTATTTATCAATATATATGATAAATAAATAAATAAATATGATAAATAAATAAATACTTAAAATATATATTTTATATATATATGATAAATAAATAAATATGATAAATAAATAAATACTTAAAATATATATTTTATATATATATGATAAATAAATAAATAAATAAATATGATAAATAAATAAATACTTAAAATATATATTTATCAATATATATGATAAATATATATTTTAATTATTTTAATATGAAGACGACAAGGCATGCAGTGAACTAGTTTAACGTTAATCGAATAAGCACCTGAAGATGGCACTTTTGTGCCGAAACATGTAGTGCGAGAGAGAGGAGTGAGGTAGATAAGTGTATGCACTAGAAGACGGTGAAATAAATCATGGACTTAAATCAGTGCAACAGGACGCTAAAATGTAACATTATCAGTAATAAAGACAAGAATATGAATTAATTTTAATTGTTTGTTGTTTGTTTGATAATTCACTATATGCTCTTTGAATATTTCAACTACGAATTAATCATTTTGTTTCTATACAGTTCCGTTAGAGATGGGTACATTGAGAAGAGAACATTTCAATCGCTGGTATTCACTGTTGCCTAGTTTCTTGGCCATTATTCTGATAGAGATACCTATTCAGGTAAGTACTACAACGTTATATTTTGTTGTTAAAACATGAAAACTGTGGTGCAAAATTATAATATTTTCATTAAATTTAAGTACGCCAAAAAAAGTGTACAATCCAGAAGGTTGCGGGTTCAATTTCCGATTAGGTCAGTGGATTTTTCAATTGACCTAATCCTTTCAGCCACACTATGGCCCCTGGGGTCGATTCAGCCTCCAACAGCAATGAGTACCAGAAATCTTCCTGGGGTTAAAGGGTGGCCAGCTTGTAAGGCTGATAATCTCGCAGCCATCTGTGAGCTGATTGTCTAGAAAATGTGGGAGCCTCAACATCTCACAATCCTATGGGCCTCCACATCCTGTTACAGGTATAACTTTACCTTTACCTAAGAAAAATTGTGAGCATGATTTGATCAAGGCATTGCCAGGCAACAGCTCTGTAAACATGGTCCAACATGCAATAGTAGGTGAGACTGTGTTTTCTGCCATGAACGGCAGTGGAACAATGGTGTTATGCAACCTGTTTCTAAGCAACGGCCCGGTAAACATATTTCTGTGTATCAGACCATGTTATGAAAGTGGTGACATCATCAACAATAGAGATGGTGTTCTTTGTTGGGTCTGTGCAGAGTGCTTATCAGAATCAGTGGCAATTACAAGTCAATCATAAGCTGGAGGAGTGAGTCCAGAAGAATTTCCAAAGTCCCAGAGTGATCAAAGACAAAATAACAAGAAGACTTCATAGGGAACTGAAGTTCTAGTTTCTGTTATGAGATCCGTTGCCAGGAGACGACTAGTGAAGATGGACAGTTCTAGTGTGTGTGCAATCATGAACTGGAAATTGTGTAAATCAGTGATAGTGCTGTACTTAAGTGTGATTAAGAGAACTTGTAACCAAAGTGCTAAATAAATCCAGTCATCTGAACTAGAACCCTTCTTTTTCATCACGTGTACCACCTACATGTGACAATATTTATTTTAGTCATACACAAGTAATGTTCATGTGTGTTCTCAATGCTCAGACAAATTTTACCAAATGAAATGGCTCATCATTCAAAGTACATACTAGAACGTGATATATATATATATGTATATATAATGAGGTCAGAAACATTTTTTTATTTTTATGTGAGTTGTAGGAAGATAAATGCTGTATCAGAAATTGTGTCTTCAAGCACCTGCAAGACACTCTTCAAGTATTTAATATTTGTATAAATAAACCCAACTATACCAGAAGTGACTGGTTCCTTAGATTTTTATGAAGTGCTGCTGGGTTCATTTATAACAAAACTTGAGTATGAATATTGATAAATTTATACTGCCATTTTTAAACATTCTCTAATATGCAAATTTATTGTAAGTGGAAATGTACTGTCAACTTGGCTTCTAAAGTAGGTATTATGCCATAAGATCTAAATTTGTACTTAAATCTGATGGTAGAAGTTAGGCCAAACTGTTTTTCCTTTCCAGTTGTCATTATTCATGCACATTCAGTTTCTTATAATCAAGTTCTGTGGTAATGAGACAAGATATCCATCTTATGGAAAACATACTATGCATATATTCTTGTTTTGGGCAAAAAATAAAATTCTGATTGCTTCTAAATAAAGAGTAATATGATGTCAATACGTCTGGTCTTTGTACTGTGAAAATTTCAGGGCATTCAGCAGTTGTAACACAGAGAAAATGCTGTTAAATGAATTAATTTGTTCAAAAACCATCTCTCTCATATAATAATACTAAATAAATCCTCCAACATTTAGTAATTCTAAAGAAGGCACACCAAGAGAATAAAATAAAGAGAAATTGGGGGGGGGGGGAAGATTAGAGAAAACCTACATGAACTACAACAGACAGTACCTTTCATTAAAATGTTTTGCTTGTTTTTAGTGTCGATAGACAGCACAGCAGAGCCTTACAGTTTTAGATAACATGTCTGTAAGCAGATCTTTATGATGCATGACAGAACTCACAAGAATTATCAGTATAACTGAGCACATCAAAGTCTTTGACAATCACAGATTGTCATATTATGTAGTATAGCAGGAAAATAGTTTTAACTGTATTAACTGAGTATTTTAAGTAACTTACAGTATCAAATTTTAGCCTACTGACCATATTTTATATGCGAGCATAGGTTTATGGTATTAATATGCCTCAACACAGCCTCTAACAGAAATGAGTACCAGGAATTAATTAAATAACTTTTCTGGGGAGTAAAGCGCACCCGGCGCGTAAGGCTGACAACCTTACCGCTATCTTTGAGCCGATTGTCTGGATCAGGCATGTCTAACTTCAAACAGGTTGTGATCGACTTTTTAGTGGCAAAACTGTCAGTGAACTACCACCCCCTGCTATCGTCGTACCTCACTTTAAGCAAAAATATTGGTAAAAATAACACGACAAATGATGTTTGTTGTAAAAGCAACATACATTGAAAGTACAGACTACTTTAACACGTATTTTCCCTTCAGAATCTGAATATAATCATATAGTAACGTGTTTGGAGTAGGTACTTCCATGGTAGCGCAATAACAGTGAGCCGTTTCATGGAGAGTGCCGAAGCAACAAACGTGTCCACCCGGAGATGAACTACAGAGAGTTCGTTGTGCCCGTTATGTAACAGCAGACTGCTGAAATAGTAGAAACGGAACCATAAGGTATGGTGTCTGGTATCTGGTCCGCATAACGCCTATATAAGCAGAATGAGACAGTCTTGGGATATCCGCCAGAGGAGACAGTCGGGATCCAGCCACGCCCAAGGACAGTTGAGATGTCGCATTGGAGTATTGGGCCAGAAGTCAAGTGATACTGCAAGTGGTAATAATTGCAAGGTGTGTAAGAGTGAGTGTCCAATAAAGATTCGCTAATTCCCGAGACCCACGAGAAGTTATCTGTCACGTGACATACCCAACATGTGACAACATTATATTACAAGTGAATTTACATGCTTTCACGTATAATTTCCTTATAGGCCTATGAGATCAACCAAAAATCGTCCCACGATCGACCAAGGTTATCACTGGTGATGATACCTGGATTTATGGTTATGATCCTGAGACAAAGCAACAATCCTACCAATAGAAAAATCCAAACTCGCTAAGACAAAAAGATGAGATAGGTGAAGAGCAAAGCCAAGAGCATGCTCATCACTTTCTTTGACATCAAGGAAATTGTTTGCAAAGAATTCATCCTGGCAGGCCAAACAGTCAATTCAACATACTACTGTGGTGGTTTACAGCAACTGCATGAAAATGTGCAAAGACTTCGCCCCAAACTTTGGTGACAAAAGAACTGGCTGTTGCATCACGGCAACACACAGCCTCACACTTCCTTTCTCACCAGGGAATATTTGATCAAAACAACACGACTTTCGTCCCACACACAACCTAGTCACCTGACTTGGCCCCTTGCAACTTTTCTGTGTTTCCCCAATTGAAGATAAAATTGAAAGGCAGCCATTTTGACCCAATTTAGGTGATCGAGGCAGAAACACAGGCAGTGCTGAACACCCTCACAGATCACGATTTCCAGGATGCATTTAAAAAATGGCAGAAGCACTGGGAACAGTGTATACATGTGGAAGGGGACTACTTAGAGGGTGATGGTGGCCAGTAGGACAAAAGTTAGTTTTTGAACAGATGGCAGCATCAGTCCTCGAAATTATGGATACCACCGCGTATTGGTATCTGCCAACAAGACTACATGGTGTTACAACCCAAAAGATCATGGCCTTAATTTTTACTAATTACTAGTTTCATCACATACGAGTATGTAGATTCAGGCATTTAAATAAAAGTGAAAAAAAAAGGAAGCTATCCCTCTAAGAGGCCGTGAATGCCCATAGGGTTTTGAGACATTGAGGCTCCCACATTTTCTCTAGACAGTCGGCACACAGATGGTGGTAAGGTTGTCAGTCTTATGCACCAAGCCCCGCCCAGAAGATTCCTGGTACTCATTTCTGTTAGAGGCTGAGTTGACCCCAGTGCCAAAGTGCAGCTAGAAGATTAGGTAAATTGAGAAAAATCCACCTCATCAGGACATAAACCCACCACCTTCTGGCTTGTAGCACAGTACCTCAACCAACTATGCTACCACATGCCCCATTTAAAAAAAAGTAGGTCTCATTAAGTTATTATGAAAATGTCTTGCTCCAGTAGATAACCATGCATCCTCCTCTGCTTCCACACATGCATTATGATTGATTGATTGATTGATTTATTTTGTCACTGTAGATCATTGTACATGATATATGACAAGTCAAGTTAATTCTGAATATTAACAATTTGATATATAAGTAGATTAAAATTACAATAGTTACAATTTTTTACATTCTTATTTGTGGAGAATTTGATGGAATGAACATGATTAAGAAATAAATGGTTGGATATGTGATCCATGAATGAACTTCATATTTCCAGATTTTTTGCTCAATGATGTACATTGTGGTAAGCTACATTTATACCGACCAGCCACTGGAAGAATATAGGATCCTTTTGTTCCTCATGGTATGTGTTACAGTAACACTCACTGCTCAGGCAGCTGGGTTCTTCATTGGAGTTGTAACACCTTTCAAAGTAAGTAGCAACAGCATACAAGAATCAGGACTCCACCTGTCACACTCTGACACTATATTCCCAAATTCCATGAATGACTCACACTGTCACTATGTTCCCACACCCCATGAATAACACATGCACAGTCACTACATTTCCATATCCCACGAATAACTTGCACACGCTGTCAGTATATTCCCACATTCCATGAATAATGTACACACTGTCACCATGTTCCCACATCCCATGAATAATGCACACACTGTCACTATGTTCCCACATCCCATGAATAATGCACACATTGTCACTATGTTCCAACATCCCATGAATAACATGTGCGCACTGTCACTATGATCCCTACAACACATGAATAATGCACACACTGTCACTAGGTTCCCACAACCCATGAATAATGCACACACACTGTCACTATGTTCCCACATCCCATGAATAACATGTGCGCACTGTCACTATGTCCCTACAACACATGAATAATGCACACACTGTCTCTATGTTCCCACAACCCATGAATAATGCACACACTGTCACTGTGTTCCAACATCCCATGAATAACATGTGCGCACTGTCACTATGTCCCTACAACACATGAATAATGCACACACTGTCTCTATGTTCCCACAACCCATGAATAATGCACACACACTGTCACTATGTTCCCACATCCCATGAATAATGCACACATTGTCACTATGTTCCAACATCCCATGAATAACATGTGCGCACTGTCACTATGTCCCTACAACACATGAATAATGCACACACTGTCACCATGTTCCCACAGCCCATGAATAACACTCACCCACTGTCACTATAACATACAGATACTCATGCATGAAGGCACACACAGCTTAATCATAAACTGTCTGCAGTTACATATGTAAATTATTGTACGTAATATAATTGATGATTGTAACAAATACAGAGTAAATCATAAATTGTCCCCTACGTTTTATGTATGTGATATATATATATAATTGTTAATAAAGATAAGAATAAAATTGCAAAAGATAAAGGCCTATACATCAATATTCTTTAGGAATATCACTGGAACATTGTGACCATATAATTTTCAGGCCAATAGTAACTGTAAGGAATATGGAAGTTCATCCTAAATTTTCATTAGAAAATGTAATGGAAATAGAAACTTAGCTGTCAATGGAAGATTAATACTACATTACTTCAAATATAAGACACATATTTTCAATATTTTTTTGTTGTTGAAGAGTGTCTTAAATTCAAGGAAATATTCACCAGTTTGCAAAATGTCCACAGGGAATCCCCGAAATAACCTAATGTAAACATACATAGAGTGAGTCATCAAGTCATCCCCTCCCATCTTTAACTGAGTCAACCACCAACTTTCAGTTCAGTCATTCCCAGGCATTCTCATCGTTAGGTGTGTTCAGTTTTCTATCAGTTTCTACCCATCACTCACTAATTGAGCTGAGCCCGTCCTGAGAAGCCACCAATTGTGTAGCTACTGGAGAATTTCCCAGGATTTTATGGAACCCAAAGATTCATTACCATGCTCACAAGAGCCCTCCACTGGTCCCTATCCTGAGCCACATCAATCCAGTCCATACCATCCCATCCTATCTCTCTAAGATCCATTTTAATATGGTCCACCCACCTACATATTGGTCTTCCTAGCAGTCTCTTTCCTTCTGGCTTTCCCACCAATATCCTATATGCATTCCCCTTCTCCTCCAATCATGCTACATGCCCTTCCCATCTCATCCTCCTTGACTTGATCATTCTAATTATACTTGGAGAAGAGTACAAGTTATGAAGCTCCACATTATGCCATTTTCTCCAACCTCCTGTCACTTCATCTCTCTTCAGTCCAAATATTCTCCTCAACACCCTGTTCTCAAACACCCTCACTCTGTGTTCCTCCCTCAGCGTCAGAGAGCCATTCAGAACAACTGACAAAATTATAATTTTGTATATTCTAATTTTTGCTTTTAGAGAGCAGACAAGAAGACAAAATTTTCTGGACTGAACGGTAGCAAGCTTTACCTGAATTCAATTTTCTCTTAATTTACTCCTGAATCACATTTTGATTCTTTATAGTCATTCCCAAATATCTGAACCGTCCCACATTTTCAAAATATCTATTAGCTGTTTTTAGTCATGATTTTGCATGGAATTCTGGGGACGAGACAGCAACATATACTTAGTTTTCTCTGAGTTTACTTCTAGAGCAACCTCCTTACTAGCATCAATTAAAGTTTGTGTGGTTTACTTTATGGTATCTACATTATCACCCAGTAGATTCACATCATGAGTACAGACCAACAGCTGATGTTTCCCATTTAATTTCAGTCACACCTGGTTTCCCTGGACCTTCCTAATGACATACTCTAAAGCAAAGTTGAGAAGCAGTGGCAATAAAGCATCTCCTTGTTTTAGACCATTCTGGATAGGAGAATTATCAGACAAATGTTTATCTATACAGACTTTACTATATGTTTCGTTTAAACAGATTTCAGTCAGCCTAACTAGTTTCATAGGTACCCCAGACTCTCTCAGAATATTGTACTATATTTCCCTCCTAACTGAATCATAGGCTTTCTTCAAAACTACAAATAGCTGATGTACTGTCTCATTGTACTCTCATTATTTCTCCAGTTTCTGTCAAATGCAAGAGATCTGATCAGTAGTCGATCTATTATGTTGAAAGCCACAAAGATAATCCCCTTTAATTTCATCTATGTATGGACTTAATCTTGAGAGAAAAATATTGGATAAATTTTGTATGAAGTTGATAGCAGTGATATCCACGATAATTACTACAGTCAGTTTTATCACCTTTCTTGTGAACTGGTACAATAATAGGCTCCTTCCGCTGATCAGGGAATTTCTCCTTATGCCAAATAGAAGTAATTAGCTTATGGATCTGAGAATGTAATATTCTGCCTCAGGCTTGAATGAGTTCTGCTGAAATTTGAATTTTTAACTTTGCAACTTTGCAATAGCAGTTTCAACCTCAAACTGACTAGGATCATGTACTAACGGCTCAGCTGTATGTATTTCTATCTGCCTAACATCACTGACCCTATGTAGATTCTATAACTGAGAGAAGTAGTTCCTCCTGTTCAAAATGTTGTAGAAATCTGCAAGCAGATCACCATTCTCATCCTTGAATAAGTTACTTCTAGGATGGTAACCCCTCTTAAAGTCATTCATTCCTCTATGCAGGTCTCTAATATTCTTTTTCTTACTGTTCCTTGCAAGCTCACCAATTTTGTCTTTCAGATTCCCTCCTTTAATTCCTGAAATGCCAGCTGGTTTCACATCTTGTATTGTTCTGATTATTCCCACTTCTTTCACTTGGATCCTGTAATCACTGCAATTTGGCTGCTTCCTTTGGTCTAATAATTTTGAGCATCCTTCGTCGAACCATGTCTAATGATTCTTCAATTCATAATAGCCTAGACTCTCTTTGGCAGAAATTGTGACATTGTCTCAAATAGTTTCCCAATCTCCATTAATATCCACCTCAGTGTCCAAGTTTTCCAAAGCTGTGAACCTGTTTGAGATTTCAACATGATACTGCTCTTTATCTTCTACGTCATTTGATTTCTTGAGATTGAACCTCTCCATATGAACTCTGTGCTTTGTTTGTTTACTCACTGCCAATCTCTCCCTAACTTCTGCCACCACCAGGTAGTGGTCAGTATCACAATCTGCTGCCCTGAATGATCGGTCATAAAGTATACTTGAATGCCATCTCCTATCTATCAAAATGTGGTGAACTTGGTTGTGTCCACTATGCTTCCTGGCTGAATAAGGCCAATTACATATTTACACCTAGTGGCAAAATTAAAAGAGCATCAGGGTCAAATATAATGGATTGGATTTTGAGAGCTTGGTAAAAAGTGCCAGTCAGTATTTTTCTAAAATAGTTTTTGAACTGCTGTGTTTCTAATGCAGAAAGTGGAAGGGCAGATGACATTCTATTTTGATGACCGTGAACAAAGTGGCAAGGGTGCTTCATCTTCAGAAAACGAAAGTGAGAGTGAAGGATCATGAGAAAAACTTTCTGATAAAAGAGAAAAGTTTGAAAGGAATTTGCACGTAACAAAAATTTTTAATTTCCATTTTATTCTTGCATAATTTTCATTACTTTTCTCTTTAATTAAATATTCTGTTATTTTAATTGATGTGCTCTAAATAAATTAATTGGAATAAAGACACCTTTCTAATTTTTTCCTAAAACCCTAATTTAAGAACTTGATGCATAATAAATTTGAGGGCATCTTATATTTTAAGTAACACAGTGTTAAAATGGAGCTTACAGAAGAAGGGCTTGAGGATGTAGGCTGGAGTGTACTGTTTTGGCTTTTTTGAATATGGCAGTGGTCAGGGTTCCCTGAAGATGTAAGCAGCAAGTTCCTTCCAGAAATGTTGGTACTTATCTATCAAATTATACGGTATCACATCCTAGAAGATTGGAATCTTATATGACCACCGCAACCATAACAGTTATTCCAAAAATACTGTTCGCAAATCTTCTGAGTGTAAATATTTCAAACCATTAACTGGAAAATTGGCACAAGCTTTGCATCAGTATTAGTTTATATTAAATTTACAAGAAACTATAACGTGGTTTGTAACAATTTTCATTCGTTCAAGAATTCTTGGATTGTGTTTGGTTTAATCTGATTTCTTAGTCTATACAAACCAAATAATTCTGAATATACAAATCTTGTTAGTGATTATGACAAGACAGAAAAGTCAGATATGTTCTTTAAACGTTGTATAATGATTATGCATGTGGAGATGGATCAGGGGATGGGAATATCTGGAAAGAGAAAAAGGGATACATATGGAAGAACTTGCATGCACAAACATGCTCATGTGTGTATGGGGGGGGGAGTAGGTAGTAGTTCACAACATATTCTCTTTTTTCAAGGAAGGGGATTTGTGAGGTAGTAAAGGTTCAAACCAGTAGCATGTAGAGGAATTTTAAATAGGCAGGCAGATTTTCAAATTTAAAATATTTCATTTTTCAGATTGCTGTGTTCCTGAGCCCCACCATTGCAGTGTTACTATCTACTTTTGGCTTCAACATCTTCCACCATGACATTCCTGAATACTTTTTATGGTTGTACCACATCAGTTACTTCAGAGCTGCATTTCACAGCCTTGTAGTTTCCATGTATGGGCACAACAGAACACTCTTGCCTTGTGAACAACTGTACTGTCATTTCAAGTACCCTGACAAATTCCTTTATGAAATGGATATTCGTGATGTTAACATTAGTGAAAACACAATTTTTGTTGGTAGTATTGGCATATTTTTGCATTTATGTACAGTTACAGCCATTTGGATCAGACTCAACAGGAGATAATGAGGATTGTTCCTGTAGTTCCATAATCTTTTCAATCATTGCCTACTCCAAAGATAGAAGATAGTGCACTGATGAAAATGAACTCAGTAAATACAAATCATGTTAATATAAATGTGTTGCTGATAATGCATGATTGTAACTAATGGAAACAAATGAAGTGCTTACAAATCAGTATTTGTAGATAATTTTATGTTTTCACAGTAATACTATTTTGGATTTTCTTTTAGGATATAATCATGTACATTGGTTATGTTTTGGAAATTTCTCTGTATTTTCAAGACAGAAAACCAAATGGCCCCTGCTGTACTTATGGTACAAGTCTGCTGATTGGTGCAAACTGCTCCATTTCTTATGTTGGTGATAGTCAACAGAAAGTGGATCAGAGAGATGAACCTATAAAGAGTTGATCTCCATTTATGTATTAATGTGCATATGCACGTGTGAGTGTAAGTTGTAAGTAAAAGAGTGGACAGCTTATGACTGTCAGAATAAGGAGAAGAGGGGGAACATAACAGGAAAAGCAAATTAACCCTAGAAAGGGCTGTATCAAACCTAAAGATGCAGGAAAACACGATCCATATTAGCAAGTCTGTATTTATGTATGAATGTTTTGCCACTATAATGTTCACATATATGTTTTGCCAAGAAATACTTTGTATTTTATTTATCTTGCACCACATTTTTTTTTGTGTTGAACAACTTTAGAAGCCCTTGCACTTCTGCTACACTAGAAGAGTATGTATATAATATTTTATTTTTTTCAAAGTGTTAACACTTGCCAGTTATAAGGTTCATTGACAATCTCTTATTGAGAATAGTAGACTGGGGTTTGTAAAACATAATTTCTTTTACATCTCTCACAAATTTTCAGTTGAATTGTAGAGAGTTGTGATAGTTATCAGTTTTCTCAATCAAAGCCTCAGCCTAATGTAACATTTAAACTTCCTAAAAGAAGGGCCCATATATTTCTAAATGAAAGCTAAAAATATTCAAGTGACTTGTCCTACTAGCTCAAATGCCACATGACCTCAGTGTAACTTCTATATATATATATCCTCATTTCTTACTATGTGTTGCACTATATTTTAATGAGCAACCACAAAACACAACACCCACTTATTTTTCCTCTGTGTAACATTTTCTCTCATTTATCATTCAGTTTCATTTACCCAAGGCATTAATTTCATTGTTAAATTTCCTCCATTTAAAGTTGTCCTTGATGTACCATTCAAATCCACTGCTTATGAAAGCAACCTTAGATGAAAGTTTCACTGTAAGCACTTTAGTTCTTTGACCCCATAAACATAAATATCCTCAACTGCTTCAGTGTTAGTATAAAAAATATGATATTAATTTGTGCATTCACCAATATTCACAAAACTTTCATCATTTGAACAGTGACAAAGCTCAGAAAACACCAATTTACATATTTTATTTGTAGGCTGTAATGCATCTAGCTCAAGTGGAGCCTTAGGTTTGGTTCCTGATTCTAGACACTTGTTGGATTAAGCTTTTTCACTTTTCCTCTGTGTATCATCATTCACTTCTGCTTCATACTCATCTGTCACCACTCCATGAGATGTATGATATCCTGACTTACAGAATAACTTAAATATGTACTGTATGTGTTAAAAAAATTGCATAGTGCATTTCAGTCCTACTGCAAAACTTGAGTTACCCAACTGAATCTTGGTTTTTAACAGTGGTTATCCAGATCAAGGTCTTTTCATAGTTATTAGCAATTCCTTCATGTCAGGATATGAACTGTTCCCCCTCATTCCCTTCCCTAAATATGCAAATACGGAATCACAGATTTTCGATTGTGATTTCCTGGCATATGACATCATGTCGTTTTGTAGGTAAATACCAACATTTTGGAGGAACTTACTGTCTCCATCTTTAGTGCCTACTTTTTTTTTTTTGCTAGTGGGGTGGGACTAAGTCCCTTGTACTGCGGCCACTTCTGGCATATTGTACCAGCCCCAGATGATAGGTGAGGGTGATTGTGGAGCAATTGGTGGAATGGAGATTGGCAGGGGATACCGAAGTACTCGGAGAAAACCTGCCCCAGTGCCACTTTGTCCACCACAAATCCTACTTGACCAGACCCAGGATCGAACATGGGCCGCCGTGGTGGGAAGCCAGCAACTAACCGCTTGAGCTATGGTGTGGCCCATCCTGGCTGTGTGCTCAGCCTATAATATTTTTATAGATTTCACCATCATACCGGTAAACAATTTAGGAAGAATAATAAAATGTTATCACTAAAGAATATGAAATCAGTGCTATATGACAGGTGTCTCATAAAAAAATTTGCGTGGAATCTAAAATCTTTTAGTACAGAAATACAAATCTTCTAGATCCAAAAGTTCTCTATGAAGATATTTATTACTGTCTCTCAAAAACAACTGGTCAGGTTTTCAAACAGTATGCTGTAGAATGAAAATATGGCCTCTGACTGCATCAGTTCCTTCATAAACAGTGTCACATATGATTCACCAAAACTGTATGATGGCACAGCTGTTTTAATGTGCTAATATGTAAAAGTAACACTAAATGAAGGGTCTTATCTTGTGGGAGTGATTATATGAAGCCTGGAAGAAGTTTAGCGACATTTTCAAGGAAAGTACTGTCTCCATCATCAGGGTTGAAGATTTATGTCATGCAAGCAACAGCAAATAGCAAACAGAGCTAAATTTCTGCTAGGCTACAAGGAATCATATCCCAGAAGCCAGGAGCCATCATAGTCATTGCTGTGAGAACCTCAAATCAAACATTAAACTAAATATTTTACATAAGGTATCCTGTATGTGTTTTGCGTGTGAATGTGTGTAGAGTTTGAAATTAAAGTTTACAGTCATAATATCAGAACAGTTACTTTTGAAACACAGTGTAACCTTTCATAATACCAAACAGTACAATAACAAAATCAGGTAACCAAATTGATATGACAATGTAAGAGAGTGAAAGGTAATATTGAACCAGAAATTTTTATCATCTGGGTTAAAACACTGTATAGTCCATTGGAAGTCACCTTCCAGTGGTCTACACAGTGTTGTATCCCAAAAGATTGTACTCTTCATAATCACCACTGCGAGAACCTTAAAATAATAATAAATAATTAAAGTCATAATATTTCCAAAATAACATTTTATTTTCTACAAATATTAATCAGTGTAGTTATGGCACTATTAAAGCTGGAACTCAGTACAGGGGTTCTAAACTTATAGCACTGTGACTACATTGGCGTGAAACATTGCTGATCTCTAATTTATAACAACTGAAGCATGGAAAATTGTATGTTTTAATTATGATGGCCACAGAACCTTCAGTAAAATTTAAATTCTATAAAATTTCATATTTTTTATTTGCAATCTCATTAACCATTAGAAGATGGTTCTCAGTGTATATAGGAATCTTCCTGGGGGTAAAGGACAGCTGACACACAAGGCTGACAACCTTACCACCATCTGTGGGCCAGTTGTCTAGAAAATGGAGCCTCAGCATCTCACAACCCTGTGGGTCTCCATGGCCTGTTATGGGGATAGCTTTACCTTTCTTTATCTTCATTTTTCTTCAGACATGCAATACAAATGAGAAAACACAGAAACATATATTTATGGGATTTGATGTGCTTGAAATGATAGTGATGAGAAACTCCATAAACTTCTTCCAGCATAACATTTGATTCTAAACATTGTACATAGGATTCATTGTGTTTTAAGCAATACAGGTGCTGTGAAACTTGTCAGATTTCATTCCCTCATTTTATCATTTGATTTTATATATATCTAAATCATTACAAACCACGCGAACAAATTTATTATGAGACAGATCCGACTTACAGACCAGTTATTTAAGAATGATTACACTTCACAGTTGTAACAGTTTTGATGATGACCTGTTTTGGCTAAAATATGTAGTGTGGCATTGGAACAAGTGTGAGAAAATAAAGTTTCTATGACAACATTTTCAGCTTAATTTCTGACTGATTTTGAATGGGAGATAATGTTTTAATTTAAGACAGTTGCTTTTGCTTGATTGCTCAGTGTTTGACATAATAGTTCTTTCTACATAATTTCAATAGACACTTATCAATCAGTGCAGAAGAATGACATTTTTAAGTCAGGATGCTGGTTTAACTTTAAATGTAACAAAGGTTCTGTTTGTAAACTATGAGTCAGAGCATCTTAAGCCAGTATAGTGAGTGGCTATGGACTGGACAACCAGGGTACAATTGCCATCAGGGTTGGGATTTTTCTCATTGTTATTGTGCCCATACACAATGAGTACATGGCTGCTTATCTTGAGGTAAAACAGCAAGAGCACGAAACTGACTACTAACTTCTGTCTATTAATGTGGTTCACAATGTGTGGAGCTATGTTTCCACACAGTGGTGCTTAATTAAGCACAAGGACAACTTTATCTTTAAATACTGTAAGCAGTCTGTGGAAGTAACATTACAAATTCTTAGCCATAAATCATAATGTTCCTATAAGAATAGATGTGGGATATTAAAGTTTAATTTGTGATATTCATATCACTTTGTAAAATATATATAATTTATAGTGTTTTGGCCGTAGGACTATTCAGATGTCTTTAATGCAGCAAGACTACAGTGAAGAGTAGGTTTTAAACATCTCTGTATGTTTTTAATAACAGAACTTTTATTCTGTGTGTTCTTCAACTGACATAAAAACCCCAAAATTTTGGTTAATGTTAAGGTGGCTATTTTGGTTATAAGTAACTGTTTCCTATATATTTTGAATATATAATTTTGCACCAGTACTTCTGTTCAGCACTACTGGTATGTTATAGAACGTGTGTATGGAATTGATACAGGGTTAGTATTACTTTTCATTTATTTATTCCTGTTTATAACATGAGGGGATCCGGGATAGCATAGTCGGTATAGCAACTGGCTACGGGCTGGTCAACCAATGGGTTGGAGTTTGAGTCTATGTAGGGTCAAGAATTTTCTCTTCTCCACATCATCCAGACCAGCTCTGGGGTCCACCCAACCTCCTACCAAATGGGTACCGGGGGCTAAAGCAGCCAGGGTGGAGTTGACTACTCACCTCAAGCTAGTGCGCTGTCAAGAAAATGTAGATCTATACATCCCACTCCCCAATACACTTTCATGGTGTAGTGCGTACTTAGTTAAGCACCAGGACAACTTTACCTTTATAACACAAGTTCAGTTACTGATTTTCACTCACTTGTGTTTTTTCCTAGCATTATATTTACCCTCAGTGAAACCATGTTAGAATACATGGTTTAGTTTGAATTATACTGTAATTATTGTGTAAAATGAATATAACTTTGGAGAAGTCATGTCTGTTCATCACACATATGAATTAAGCCACTCATGGATTCAATGAAACTGTCAAATGAATTTTAAAAGTTCCTCACGTGCAGATTATAAGATCGTTATGTAACAAATATGTTTGACATATTTGTATAGTCAGCTATATTTCTGAGTACATGGCATAATTGTACAGCTTTCCATTTTTGTTTTATATGTAAACAGTGTATTATTACATGAAGTTGCATTCATTAAAAGCAAAAAGACAAAAACTAAACCCCAGAATTAACTTAACATTATGTTCACTTGCATTCCATACTTTGTTCATTAATTAGTAGAATTTTATCTGTGACATCACAGTTTATATTAGTGTATTCATTTCACCTTTGTTACAAATTAAAAGGCTTACTGTATTCATGTTAATTGACATTAAGCAATGCTAATATGCGTATGTGTGCATGTGTGAAGATGTGTATGTGTATACACACACACATGATATCTTCATACTTTTCAAAGGAAATCATACAAATTGTGGTAGACGTTAGAATATATAATTAGGAAACCTGTTCGGTGTATGAGTAATTTAAGTCCAATGCCCAAGAAGATGTATTAGCAGTCTGTGATTCATTTAGCACTAAAAGGAACTGGACTATGTAATAATGTTATGTTTGCTTCTAGTTCATGGTATTCATCTTGGGAGAAAGCTTTATTAAACAAATCTTGTAAGTTTATTCATGATGTCATAAGCCATTCAAGGTTTGAGTAAGAGCTTGGAGATAACTTGGATAGTATGCAAGAATTTACATACAATTCTAGACATAACCTCATTTGTATAGAAAGATGTAGTCTGCATTGCATGGACAGTTAAGTTATATGTAAAATGTCTGTAATATTAGACATCACAGAATTATGTATGCACCTCTTTAGAGATAATAAACAATACTTTCAACATCGTGGATGGAATGTATTATTTTGAACTGGCATTACATATTTGCAGAAAGGATTTGATTTGTTTCATTCTGGTCCGTCACACTAAGAATTACAAAGACAAGACAATTCCGTCCAGCGTGACTATTTAAGTTTTACTACTTGAAAACTTAGCACCCTTACATGTTTTGATCCTTATGGATCATCTTCAGAGGGAACATCAATACTTATTTGGAAACTACTATGACAATAGGTGTTCTGAGTGCTAAATTACATACACACACAAAATGCCTGGAATTCACAATATTCACAAAATCCAATTTTTTTACAATCACAGCGGCTTTCCTGGTATTAAAGTTTTTAAATCTTTGTTGTTTAAGTTAAAATT